CATTGAATTGAAGTAAAAAAGTAGAAATAAATAAAGTGATTGAGTTCTTATTATGTAAATATTGTAAATGCAATTGAGCTTCAACAAAAACACTCATGAAAACGTATAACTTATATATACTTTTATAACACAAAAAATATAAGGTTTATAAGTGGCTGTATATATATTAATACAGTGCTTGACATAAAAATAAAGAAACTTAATACTAATAGCATTATTTTAAAGTAATCTTACTTGAAAAAAGGTTATTTTTATCATGGTTAGACTTATGGCGTGTTCCTTTGGTATATCCAGGGTAACTTCTTCAATCGACTTTCACTTTTAGTACAATTATCATTTTCATTTGATAAATTTCGAGAGAAATGTATGACACTCGAGATAAATCTATGAATCTATAACACTCTATATATTTTGTCAGAGTAGCAATATTATCCTGAAATGAACAGCTGTTTTATTTCAAAATGTTAGATTACTCTAAAGGTGTTCGATTGGTCAACATAGTTTGACATATCAAAAGTAAATCCAGATAGCAACCAGGTTTAGCAATTGAAAACGCCATTAGAAATAATTAAAACTTTTTATCAGACGTTTTACCAATACACGTGCAGTTAAAAACAATCAATATCATATATTACTTATAAATCGCATGTATTTGACAATAAATCCAAGCATATTCGAATAATTTGTAGCTGAAAGTCTTTAATTTTGTACAACACCAATCATTAAAGTTAAAACGATATGGTAGTTTCAAACGTTGGAGTCACTTTTGCGGATCATTTTATTAGTCTGAAAGAACTTGAACTAGATCTTAATATATTTATAATACTGTACAGTTAAGAACTATTAAATCTTAAAAATACAGAAAGCAAAAATAAAGTAAAAAATTTAATATATAGAAATCGAAAATGTTATGTTACGTCGGTTCCATATAATAATAACGTAAAAGCTTTATATGAATCAGAAAATGTTATAAAATAAATATGAACTCAACATCAAAGTTAGATAAGATATATCGTAAAACAGTAAAACAGTAAAGTTACTGTTTTGAAAGTCACCGTTTATGATAAAAGACGAACCGGTATATAAAATTAGATGGTGATACCGCTTGATAGACATAGTATTATCACAATAAGTCAAATGATTTTTATTCTTATGAAGAGGCAAATTGCAAGAGACGTTTATACAAAGTTTGAAAGCAAAGGTATATAGAAGCAGATTTTTCGTTCGTATAAAAGAAATTATTCAAAAGTCATAACTACAACTAAGTTTCTCTTTCTTATTAGACAAAACAAACTCAATATGCTAATATCAGATTTCTCGTTCATATCAAAGACGAGGACATGAATGTATATAGAAATTCTGTATAAGATGGTCATACAAACAATATTTCAAACTACAGCTTATATTTGGGTTCCGAAGATTGCAATTATAACTTAACATAAACAGATTTAAAAAATAATTAATATAACTGAACTGTTACTATGAAGAACATTAGATCTTATACAATTCTCATAACATTTATTATATAAATAAAAATGATTATAAATATGGAAGTGTTTGCAGTACACACAACTTTCTACACATCTACACAGACTTTATATATATGAGATATACGATGTCATTTATATATTTTTTTGTATAAAAAAATATTTAGTAAAATTGAACATTTTATGGTAAGTAGATATCACAAAACATTTGATTAGTAGTGTACTTAGTACTAATTATATTAAACCAATAAAAATTCTGCAGGCCTAGGAAATCGATAATGGTCATTTTTAAAAAAAAGGTAAAAAACACGAATACTTCTTTATTTATAAGTAAAACTATTTGTTTTAAGCGTTGAGCAAGTATGAGCCACTAAGACTTTGTCTACAAAACTTTGGGCTTCATCATATATGCAAATATACCTAAGCACTCAATTATATATAATAGCTTCAGCATTCAGTTCAGCGGTAATTGACAGTTGGTCTCAAATTAAAGTTGTTTGAAATTCTCTATAATTTTGTTTTTTTATGTCCCTTATACCCTTTTAATAAGGGAACACTAAGTTCGTTGTTTGTTTTGAATTATAACAAAATTATTGGAATATACTATTACTAATTACTAATATAAGGTGTTTTTTTAATAGGCATAGAAATTTAAATAAAAATATAACTTATACAAATAGTTGAAGTTGAGCAATTTAGGTTTATTAACTATATAATTTTATGGCATCACTGATAACAAATTATTCAGGCATTATGGCGGCCTACACGTTGCAATAGAAAAATTGTATTCTGGAAATTTAATTTTCGATCTCTTTTACATTCATAAGATGTGTAATCTCACAAATAACTCACTAGATATTAAATTTCAAAGCTGAAATTAATGTTGCCTTTCTTGCGCTGGCTAACGATTTCAAATGCATTTAAAATAATAATAAAACGGTGTCAGATCACATAATATCGGCGACCAAACAATGACTCTGTTTCTGAAAAGGATATATATATATACTTTTGTATATAAGAACTTTCTTAACCTTTTCGGTGAACAGTGATTGTGAAATTAATTTTGCACTGAAATGGTTGCCTACTTAAAATCTAGTCTCTAAACAAAACACCACATATGTAAAGATCACATATTATCTAATACGGTAATTATCCATCATATAATAGTGAATTACAGTAAAAGACAGTGACACAATCACTAAATATATACTGAAACCGGTTTTATCTATTGTTTTGTATATAAAATGCGCTGTTTAGTGGTATTTATTATTAAAATGGACTTTCTTTATTCTAAAAGAGAGAGAGAGAGAGAGAGAGAGAGAGAGAGAGAGAGAAAGAGAGAGAGAGAAAGAGAGAGAAAGAGAGATTGAATTTGATAAACATATATTAACCCAATTTTTTAGTTATAAAAATGTTGTTCTACTATTTAAGATAGCATCATTATGGGTTAGCGCTCTAATGGACTTAATTCATAATTCAGTATTCAGTATGTATAATTCAACATATTTCCATAGTGATAAGAACAAAAACAAATTAATTGAAGAATAGAGATTTCAATTTGTTAAATTATTTTTGCTCATAAAGTTTTTTTCCAGTTTCCAGCAATACAAATCTATCCATCTAAGCTTATCACTTTCAATTGATAGCAGATTTAAATTAAAAACTTTGATTGTTTTATGATGGACCGTTTTATATACTTTCAAAAAGCTTGATTCGCACGAAACTATAGATAAATAAATCATAAAAAACAATTGAATGTCTCATTCAATCATATAATATCATATAATAAATAATGATATACCAAATAATGATCAGTCTATTTTCTTGTGATCTATGTTTGTTGCTTTTTTGTTCGATTGAATAAATCTACGTCAAATAAATCTCATTTAACTGTTCGTTTTAGTTTTAAAAGCCAATATCTTGTCCCCCGCAATAACAATAATTAAAAAATCGGAAACAGGATATATAAATTCTCTTGTGTGATTACTTAAAAGAAAATTTAACCAACATATAAGTAAATAACCTTAAAGTATCTCTACAATTTTCACAGACAAGTTAGATATTTAAAATGTATGTATTCAAATTATATTTGTCGTAAAAACTATTAAAATTAATCAAAAATTTATTGATAAATTAACGACCATAAATAAATGAATCAGCCCTTAAAATTAATCAAATTAATTTTATCCTTTAATGGTTAAAGTAAGTATCTGTATCTGTGCGTTGTCAGTCTAGCAATTTGTCATTTCGAACACACTCAATCAGTTAACAAACTGTAAAACAAACACACAGACTTTCATTTTACGAAACCATTTTACCTCAGAACCCGCCCAACCACACCTACAATATTAATAGAATGAAAACCGCCACCGGTTTCGTTGATTTTGATTGATGTATTTCAAATCAGTTTTTGATGACATTTAATGTAGAAATTAATTAATGTTAAATTAGCTCACCTTAGACGATTATAACCTTGGATGGTATTGTTGTCAATATTGTTCCTTGCAAAAGATTTTGTTCAATTATTATTATTGTTGTTGTTGCACCTAGTATATTTTGTTGGATATCTAACGAGTATCTATCACAGCGGTATTGTGAGAACTCAGTGCTCCATGTAGTTTCACTAGACTGCATTTAATTTGGTAATGTTCATATGTGGTTACTTTACTGCGGTTTCTTTGATTATCACGTCATTTATATGATGGCGTATGGAGGTCTTTATAAGTTTCAATGACAATGGATTCCTTTACTCTTTAATAATAAAACTGCATATGTATGATATTTCATCACTTACTACACAATATATTTATTTAAATAGAACTTTTAATCGTGTTCAATACATTTTGTTAACAAAGAACGGTTCAGTTAATATTTTCCCCATAGGGCAAGGAATGGTCCTATGAAGAAAAGCCAATATAAATACAAATAATATATATTCATGGTATTTCTAAACAAAGTACCTTAAGTGGAGGAACTGATTTATTATTTTAAAGAACGAAAGAAATTGTATGAGATCCAATACACTATATACCGAGACACAGTAAGTTTTAGTGAATACTACCGGAATCAAACAAATAACCTACATATGTATATCGAGAACTGTTTATAGCAAGTTGTTTGTTTTGAAGGATTAGAAGACCATGCATAATAGAAAGAGTGTTTGTTTCAATAAAATATTTAAAACTTAATAATGTATTAACATGTGAAATAAAAATCAACTTTAAAGCATTATAACCTCCGAGTCGTATATTCTGCAAGAATATGTTGTACACCATATTAAGATAAGGTATATTTAATGAACTAAAAAGTAGTATATAAATTAGCTATTTTTGTGCTAAAGGTGTTTTTCTCACTGCTTATATTTTCCGTATAAAAGTCTCTAAGACACCTTAACAAACCAAAAGGGTGAGAAAAATGCACCAGCTTTTACTTTCAAGATTCTTTAAACTTTATTATTATCATATTCTTTTTAAATATCGTATAAAAATCAATTGACATCTTCACGTCCTTAATTATTTTTCTTATTTCATAGTAAATCTTAGGTTTTTAAACTTATTTAACTTGTATCTATTGTTTCATTAACAGAGCTTTTATAGAGTACAATTTTTAGTATATATGTTTACTAAAATGTTTAGTATATATAGTTTACATAACTACAAGCTACATATTTTTCTTTGTGCTCAAATTTCCAATTTTTGTAGCTTTGTCACTGTGGTCCCGGTATAGTCCTCAAGCAATATACTGATGGCACGGGTTTGTAAAAATGGTATGATTATGAAGCCGTAACAGTGACAAAGCTCCAAAAACTAGAATTTTCAAATCAAAGAAAAATATGCAAATTGAAATTATTAATTTAATTTACAAATCAAAATGAACCAAAAATAATAATTGTTAGTTATTGTTTGAGCATTGCTTACTCATAATAGGCTGGAAATGCCATATATACAAGTTAATTGCTTTCATTTATACTTCTTCCAGTTAGTTCTTCAAATTCCAATTCTGCAACTAAAGCAAATATTTTACCTTTCGCCCTATGTTGATTTAATGTGGATAATTTTTTCACAGCTGTTGACATGTATGTAAAGAAAGAGTCAATATCTGATGAATTATCGTTTTTCTTTGCATTTCCATCGATGCGTGTTTCAGCTGAAGAGTTCTTTAAATCGACTGATGTCTTTTCAGATTTATTTGAATCGATCATATTTGGAGTGCTAGTTCTGGACCCAGGATTTGTATCCGATAATGGATCTATTTCATTTTCATTATATTCAAATAATGATTGTTTTTGTGTATCATTATCTTGAAATTCTTCTGAAATTTTATATTCACATTTAATGTTTGATGGAAAAGATTTCTTAGTAATTCCCATATATGGTTCGAGAAATGTCATTTTATCTTCCCATTTCCATTTAAAATTGTTTTCACCTTCCACTGCGGTCGCCTTACGTTTTAAGGAGCGCCTATAAGTATCCCGAAGTCCCATCCATACTTTTTTGCACATTTTTTCTGAAAAATATTTTATACATATTCGTTATTGAAAAAAAAAATGTTATAAGAAAAACTAAACTAATAGAAAAAAAGTTAATAATATTATTATATATGTTATACACATGTATAGTTATTATGTATATATAAAACAATGTCAATATATTATATATTTAGGATAGTATAATATTAATATTTTAAAAATACATGCATATGTATATAATACATACTTGTTTAAACACACTTTCTGTTTTATGTATGTTTATATGTACATGATTCACAATTCTAAATTCTTTGCGATAAAGTTTTAGAAAAACTCTCTAAGAATGACTAATGAAATGAGCAAAAACAAGACGCAAGCCATAGACTTCTGTATGGACTTCCTATATTTATTGTAATTTCGGCGTTGCGAATTTCATTATAAATGCATATTTTACTTTAACATAAGTTAGATTAAAAATAATCTGTTTACTACTACTAACAAGAATAGGTTTTCTTTGTTAAAAAGAAAACAACAAATATTTTCAGCTTTTAAATGAACTCACCCTTTTCATTCAATTTTGCGCCGAATTCCTTCCAGAGTGCATCTTTATGCTCCGTATCTCTATACAAATCATTTCTGGTATCATATAGCTCAGAATGGTTTCGAACAAGTTCGATTAATTTTGCGTTATCCAACTTCTTCATTACAAATCCGTAGAACGACTAAATGCTCTTTGTGCTCAGTTTGCTACTTGCTCTGTCGTTTCGTTTCGTTTTCGTTTCGTTATAGTTTTGCCTGTGTGTTTTTGGCCGTAGCGTGATGTTACCCTTCTGCGTATTCACATTTCTCATATAGAGACCGAAACGAAACGATTTCGTTTGTTTATGGAATGAAACGCTACACCGAACAATTGCAAACAAATGAAAGCAACATTTAATATGAAAATAAGGAAAAATAGAAAAGCGAATTATACATTATATGAATATAATGTATATAAATATGTAATACTTATATAAAAATTATTTCGATATTTTTTTTCTTAAAATTAAAATATTTATTTAAATTTTCTTTAATAATTTTTGTAAGTATAATATATGCACATTCGGGTAAACCACTGAGCCTTATAATCTAAGAATTAGCTAAAACCGGTTTTGCAATGCATTTTGTTGTTGTACCATTGTCCTTCTCTACTGAAATACACTTTTCAATAGACTACCTGACGTGAATAAACATATGTAAGTGAATTTAATATGCCTGTGACGAAATTCAGCGAAATGGTTTACTTTGGGGTTTTGAACTTCTCCGAGTTTTGAAGATTCAGAGGTGCGATATTATAATAGGTCTGTTCCAAGAGAAACTCGTAGTAATTATGAGTAACACTGTGTATACAGAAGTGCATTCCATCAGCAATTTTTCGTGTATAAATTTTAATTGTATTTTACTTGGGTTTTACGAGTAAAAGAGACCTAATATTATTAAGCAATATGACACTTTATTTGACAGATGTAGTAAGCCAGGGCTGTCCAAAGCAGATGTATTTGCAGGCTAATACAACAAACACATACATACATATGTTTTTAATTATTTCCGGCAAAAATAAAAATACGGTTAAATTTAGTTTTATAAATTTATCAAACTACATCATTTTATTTATTATACCATAAAAATAAAATGATGTAGTTTTACCAGCAAATTAAAAGGAAATTTGCGTAATTGTGACAGATTGTCATAGGGCCGAACTAATATTAGCCATGGTGTAGTAATACATATCAGCCAAACATAAGCCTCATTCTTCTCAAAAAAGTGTTATTATATAGATAGCACTTAATAATTGGTTTTTTACTATGCATAAACAAAATATTGGTTAAGTATATTTGATATCATATGTAAATATTTTGGAAAAATCTAGAAAAGTTTTTTTATGAACATTTCTGGTTATTTTATTATTTATATAATATATTATATACATCTTATACAGTATAGAGGCACCTCAACGCGTCCAAGCACGACTCACGTCTGTAATGACCAACTAAGTAAGTTAATAAGTATTATATATATCCTGAAAATATTGTTAAACAGTAACATAATTTTAAAACAGCAAATTCTGTCTGTGACACGAAATGTATTATTAAATACGTGGATATTAGAAGTGGAAAATAAACAATAGAAACAAATCGTTGGACTTTGGTTGTTTGGTGTACCAATAAACCAATAAATAAGCTGTTCTCATTTTATAAATTCTTTGATATTTGTATTAAAATTAGAAAAAAATATATTATATCACATCATAAGGACATCATCAGGGATGCAGCGCCACTTATTATAACTCCACATCTATTTTAAAAAATGGCAACTTTCATATGATACTTGGTCTATCAATACAGATAGTGAAGAAGTGATTTACTGACGTGAATCACGGCAGTACAAACACCGATAATGCCAACTGCGTTGTTCATCCAAAACAGGATGTGACACCAGAAAACATCAAACATGTCTATAAAATCCATTATGGCATACCGTTTAGTGAAATTGAATTAAAGAGCTTACACATTAAAGATTGCAAAGATTTCATTTAATGTGAAATAGGTGCCGCGTTTGCTGACAGTTGTCCACAAACTACATCGTACTGCTGGTTCTGAGAGTTGTTTGTAATTCCTGAAACTAGATAACTAAAAATAACTTTCTGCGTTGGTATGTAAAAATGGACGAAACTTCTATCCACAACTTAACTTCAGTGTTTTACCTTGCCCAAAACGCCCAACGCAACAGACAGTTCACAGGTTTAGCAACAGCTTTATATCGCTAAGGAAAAAGTCATTTTTAGACAACCCTGTTATAAGTCGTTGGCTTTCATGACTACATTATATAAATTGCTTTCAAGCCTACCATAAGAATTGTCAGAATTGACCCCCAGCGATTACTACCCGTTTGCAGACCTCAAAAAATCCGGAGAATGAAATTCAGTTCTAATGAAAAAATTGTCGCCGAAAGAGCTTTGTGCCAGTAATGAATACTTTGGATCCTAAAATGCAATGCTATAAAATGTTGGAACAATAGCAGTATATTATTTATTTTATAATGGTTGATTTTTGTAAAATATGTTTAACATTTAACTTGCTTATCGTTTCATGGTTACATTAAATACCAACCCAAACGCGTTGTGGCATTTCTTAATTTCCACAACGTGGAACTGTCTTTGTGATCATTTCAAAGTTTTTAACAATACAATACGTTAATCCTGTTTCTGTTGCTTAATGAGCATTTCCGGTTTCCTTATCTTATGTACCCATTGAGTTAAAAATAATGCCAGTGGTATTATAACTTTTCGCCAACATTGCTGAAGCAAGATCTAAATGAATTGAATTATATATTATGTTAGTTACACTATTCCTTTTTGCTATTCCTTTTTGTTTTTTGGTTTATTTGGTTATAAAGGGCACTTATTCCACTGCATATGGAATTGTCTTGTGTATAGTATAACATAATGTCAATAATATATGTCAGGACTGTCCAAAACATACCACACGGGTGTCTTGTGGCCGGCGATATGTTTCTAATCTGCCACAATTTGGCAAATTTTTCTTTGTTATATTTTGGTAATATCACATTATTTTATTTTTATAATATCCCAAATAAATAAATTTATAGGTTTAAAATAATATATTATAATTCACATTAATTTACTTAATTTAAAAAGACTTTAGTATATATTTCTTTGTACAACTTATTCAAAAAGTGCCCTAAGTCATTACATTATAAATAAGATTTTTTTGTAACAACTTATATATGTAAATAATGTTGATATTGATAAAATTGTAAAAGATAAATGATTGAAGAATTAATAAAAGTAAATTTAACATTATCGCCATATTTTTATTATACTCCGAAAAAATATTGGACGTATGTATTTATTTCTGCGGCCCTCAAACCTATTCAGTGATTTATATTGCCCCGCGATCTTATCAGATCTGGACAGCCCTGGTGTAATTAATAAAAGAGATAAATTTTTTAAAAGTCTATATTTGAGATGTGCGCAAAGCTCGTTATTTCGTTATTTTCTACTGATATTGATAAAATTATAAAAGGTAAATTATTGAAAAATTAATAAAAGTAAATTGAACATTATCGCCATATTTTTATTATTCTCTGAAAAAATTACGAGCGTATGTAGTTATTTCTACGGCCCTCCAACATATTTAGTTATTTGAATTGGCTCGCGATCTTATCTGGTCTAGACAGCCCTGATTAATGTGAAAAAGAATAAAATACAATTTAACATTTATGATTTAAATTAAAATTTCTAATTATAACTAATAGAAAGGGGTATCACTTCTTCCAACTCGAACTATAACATCTTCTTCTTCTAATTTAAATGAAGTTTCTAAAGATAAAAATACTTATTTAAAATAAAGATGCTCTTGGCCTTAAATATATTATATATGAAATTACCAAAATAGTGCATGTATCTTATGTGTACTATTGGGTTAAACTACACCAACCCAATAGAGAGCATTCCTTATTTGAGTAAAAGGATAATAAAATTGTGCCAATCCATATATGATAAATGAATCTATAAGAAAGGATTGCTTCTACGAACATCAACATACTCATATATTCATGAACATTAAATTCACGTTAAACTGGCTTTCATACAAAATATTTTCTTATAGTTTTTGGTATTTTCGTTTATTTACATTGCTGTTAATTTTGACCTATAAAACTTAAAGGAATATATCTTACTTATATCTAGATGCAGCGAGTAAATAAATAAAACAAAATGAGGAAAGTATCAACCCATAATATTATATCAAAATAAACACGTTCTTATCAAAGCAATCTCATAGTCATGCATGATTTTCTATACGAAAGTAGGTATATCCTATAAATTAATTATATACAAGTAATTTGTTTCTTTCGAGAAAAAGCCTTAGGTTTTAGAGATTTAAAGATATCCAAAAAGCACACATACGAACGAACATGGATACACGTAGAGAAGCTCATTTACTATGGGAGCAGCACAAGTAATGTTTGCATATAAATTTCAAATGCAATTGACCTAATGTACACATGCGGGCATAGTCAACACGGACGTATAAGCCTGTGTATTAGCCCATATTTCCGACTTAAGATCTTATCAGACATTTCGTTTCATTTTTTTTTTTGTTAGTTTGGTTTATACATATGTCGTTGTTACGTTTAGTTAAATATAGTTTGTAGTTTATTTGAAATTTGAAGTAGCTCCCGCACCTTTTTACCCAGAACAGGGTGTTGTCAATGACAATGTTAAATCTTTTTTTACATACTTCTTTCATTATTTAAATCGCTTTGGCTTAAGGCATATAAATTTCTTAATAATTGTGCAACCCACCAAAGCTGCTTTCCAAGATAAAAAGGGTTTACGATAGGCGAACTAAGATCTGAGATACGCTTTTAGTGTAAATAACTTTGATTGCATTAGGCTTAGTACACTGTTTTCTTTTGTAACTTCAAAGAAATTTGAAATCAAAAGACTCTTTTATTTAGTATGCGCTCCGATTTCCTATTAATTTGTAGTACCTTGAGTATTGTTAATAAGCTTACTTTGTCACGTTCATTGTATGATTTTGTTATTTATTATTAACGAGACTGCAAATATAATTTTATGGTCTTTTGAATTCAGTTGAAGATACTTGAGTGTACAGGAAACTGAAACAGACTAAATGTTGTTT